GGTTGTGGTGGTGGTGAGGGCTGAAACGAAAGGACGGTTGAAGATGGTTAAAGGTAATTTGGCTTTGAGGATTGGATTCTGTTGCTGCTGGTCACCTTGGAGCTTGAGAGATATCTTCATCTCTTCCCCGGATTTCTGGAACCAATTGGCTCTGCTTCAGGAAGATGACTCCCCGCTGTAATTACTGTAATTACGAGTTTCTGGTTTTTTTTTTTTTCAATCTCTTTTTCTTCTTTTTTAATTTAAAATTTTAACTATTTTTTATTAATATATTGTTGATATTATAATTATCGAATTAAACTTAATCTTAACAAATTATTACGATTTAAGGGGTCAAAGAAGAATAACATAATGATTAAATTCGTTTAATTAAATTAATTACAGCAAGTTAATATATAATTTAATTTTTTAAGTAATTATTTTTATTTATGTTTTGTTGGAATACAAGATTTTAATTTTGAATATAACATAATTTATATATGATAAAAGTCAAAATTATTTTTTTAATAAGATATTAATTTTAAGTATATTTAATGATGTTGTAATTTATCATATTATTTATTAATTTATACATCAACAACAAAATCTTATACTAGAAATAGTGATCAAAGATTAAATATAATCCAAATTCAATCTAAACCAATAAAGTCCAAAATTTATATGGTCCATCTTTTTTTTTAAAAAAATAATATAATATATATACAATAATCCATTTTAGATAGATGAATAGATAAATATTCATATTTATAGAAAGTTATAATTTTTTTTAGACAAAGTGAATAAAATGATTTAAACATGAATATTTAATTTTATAATAAAAATATTATGTCATTTATCTAAATCTTTTTATTTCAATAAAATATGTTAATTATTTTTATTTTTTTAATATTAAAAAAATATTCTACGATCGTGATTAACTTTTACAATCAATGATAAAAAAGACATTAAAACGTCACGACGTTAACGATGAATTCAATAATTTGTGCTTGCTTTATAAGAAAATCAATGGAGAGAAACATTTTTCTCGTACCATATGATTATGCTTACTCATAATCAAATTTAGAAAGAAAAATATAATAATTTTATTAATACGTTAATAAATATATAATTAAAATTTTAATTTAATTAATTTACATCATGGAATAAATACTTGATTTTATTATATTATGCATTATTTAACCTCAATTTTTTTGTAAAATCGAGGGAGGAGAACGATCCAATCAATCAAGCATGCGTAAATTTGAAAGCAATCTCATTCTCCATTATATAAATCTGATCTACGTGAATTTAATTACAACATAATCAGGTAGATTATAGTTAATAATAAGCCACACAATATTTAGTTGGCGAATCTAAAATCTTATCTTTTCTTATCATAGAGTACAAGTGAACATAATATACATACATACATACATATCATACGCATATATATAGCCATGCATGACAGAAACTAATCGTTATTTTTATGATAATCAATGGATTTGGTGACTGACTGACTGAAGCTTGTAGCATGTGAGAAAATTAGGTCACGTTAATTTGCTTGTCCTAATTCTCTCTTTTTCTTGTTAATGTTCCTTAATATATTCTATATACACGCATATATATTATTAAATACGTTCTTGTATATCTACTTCTCTTCATGGTAGACCGGATTATATTTAGGTCGTGCTACCAACCCATTGAACCCCATACTAGACTTGCTTTTTGCAGCTTTCTCTCGATCGTTATATATATATATATATATATATATATATGTGTGTGTGTGTGTGTGTGTGTGTATGTATAATTTGTTGTGAAGGCAAATTGTTCACGTTTCGAGGGATCCATTAGCCTCCAAACAAGTCTTAATCAGAAGCATTAAGTGCAAAAACTAATTGTAAAGTTATAAAGTGAAATAAAAAAGGGTTGGTACGTAGGAGGAATACAACTGTTAAGCATGACCTCTTAACACCTCCTTCCACAAACCATAATATTTAATTAATTTCTCATTAAATTAAATTTAGACCAAAAACCAATTTAATATATACATATATATATATATATACACACACACACACGCACACGCATATATATATGTTTGTAGGGCACCACTATCTCTGATCCTTTAATTATAATTTAACTATATGAAAAGATTTATCTTACATCACAAATAAAGTTTATATTGATGATACGTATATACCATACTACTAATTAATTTCCTTCACCAATTTTATACGTACCACCTTTTTTTTAACCTGCTAATTATAATATTATTTTTCACTTTTATTTCATGTATTAATTTGTATGGAACACGTATCTAATTATTTAACGATATATATGCATATGTATTTAAGAGTGTGTGTGTATATATATATATATATAGAGCTAGAGCTACGTGCAGTTCTTGAAATACTAATCCAGTACTTAATGCGTGACAATAAACGACAACCTATATATAAATAGGCGCATACCTAGATATACTTATTAGAAATGTAATTACGTGTACTTAACCTCATTGATGTTACAATATTTTGTATATATATATATATATGTGTGTGTGTGTGTGTG